CAACAAAAGGATGAAACAGACCGGGGGTACTAGTGCCGGGGTGGGGGTGAGATATTTGTAACATTTTCTCCCCGTCATGTACGGCGTACCACGGCGTGAGTGTCGACAGAAATAGCTCCAGGTCTACCATGGGTGCGGCCCGTGGAGCGGGGATGTATATATATGTATGTGCAATAGTCGGCAGATTTTAACCAGCTGTATTCACACGCGGGGACTGGTCGGAATTTTGAGTGGAGTTAAAATAATAGGCTGGACATGTAAGTATCTTAAATAAGCTTATATAACTAGACTTACTCAATGACTGTGAGAACTACGGGGAGAGGGGGGGGGGCAGAGAGCAGATCTTGGGAACAAAGCTTCTCTTAGACCGAAAATCTTTCCGTTGGTTATAATTAGAATTAAAAAGAAATACGAAAAATTTGCCGAAAACGTTTTTTTTTTTTTTAGTTTTTGGCAGTTTGAATCACCGTAACTTTGATACCTTTTTTCCGGAATTTTAAAACTATGATAACTATATTTAAAAAAAAAAAAAAAAACCAATTGTGTACCGATCCTTTTTCAATAGATATAATTGATAGTATACAAATAAAAAAGCACGCTTTTATATCAAGGAAAAAAAATTATACATTAGTATGATTATATGGCAAGGAAAAAATACATTAGCGTGCTTTTATAGTAAGAACAAAAATCGTAAATAAAATTATTATTTCAAATTGTAAAACTTGTTAAAAAAATCAGCTGCTTTGAAATGACCCTCGTCACTATTTTCGTGTATACCAGAGTTTAAAGACCAAATAATACCATGTAAAAAGCCAAAACTTGCATAGCTCGATATTCAGGGCGCCGGTATTCTTGCTTCCTCAGCAGATTACAATTGGCCAAAAAAAGTTAATAAGATTCCTACAGCAGGTAATTAGGAAATAGGTGTGTTAATTATTTCCAGGTGTCGGCTACACCCCCCCCCCTACACCATGCAGTGACAGCAGAACGCTGCCAGTGAGGGCGTCAATTAAACGTAAAGCTACCTCCTGTCGGGTGGGCTAACGGGCTTAGACAGGCGATCGATACGTTACAGCGCTAATGAAATTTCACCCCCCCCCCCCAAAAAACAAGCACAGCGGTGGCTCGTGGTGTCAGAGATGTGTGCCCCACGGTCACTCATGTATATTGGGGGGGGGGGGGGGGTGACGCACTCATTTATATTGGGGGGGGGTGGGAGTGACGATATACACACTCATTTATATTGGGGGGGGGGGTGGGGGTGACGATATACACGCTCATTTATATTAGCCATGGGGTGAGTGGGGTGATGATATACACACTTATTTATATTGGGGGGTGGGGTGACGATATACACACTCATTTATATAATAGGGCGTGGGGGTGACGATATACACGCTCATTTATATTGGGGGGTGGGGGTGACGATATACACGCTCATTTATATTGGGGGTGGGGGGGGGTAGAGGTGACGATATACACACTCATTTATATTGGGGTGGGGGTGACGATATACACGCTCATTTATATTGGGGTGGGGGTGACGATATACACGCTCATTTATATTGGGGGGGGGGTGACGATATACACACTCATTTATATTGGGGGGTGAACGATATACACGCTCATTTATATTGGGGGGGGGTGACGATATAAACACTCATTTATATTGGGGGGGGTGGGGGTGACGATATACACGCTCATTTATATTGGGGGGGTGGACGATATACACGCTCATTTATATTGGGGGGGGGGGGTGACGATATACACGCTCATTTACTTTAACCATGAGATGGGGTCGCCGAAATACCCGCGTATTGATAGGAGCTATGGGAACAGGGGCGCCGATGTACACACTAATTAATAGGTGCCATGGGATCGGGGCGCCGGTATACATCCATTTATAAAGATTATAAGCGTGCGATCAGGGCGCCGACGGAGAAGCGTGGGTTCTGTTAAACCCAAGAGACGAGCCACTATAATATGTATTTCATATGTATGTATTTCTTTATGTATGTATTTCTTATATGTACTGTCCCTTAAATATCGCGCCCCTCACCTTCTCTTCCCACAACAAGGAGGCTACACCACAGTGCGTGGGTTTGCTAGTTTAGGTATTTTATTCTGATTGCTACATTACATTCGTTGAATGTTTACAATACGAAATGAACCGATGAAACACGCTAAAAGGGAAAAAATCTATGTCTAACGATACAATAGTATTTATCCAGTAGAGTCATGAAGTTTTTCGCGTCTAGCTGTAGTATAAGAGTTGTGTTAATGAAACCGTGGAACCAGAGTTTCTTTCGGGCATCTCTTCTGGGAAAGGGGGGGGGGGGGGAGGGAAAGAGTCTACTCCCCCCCCTCCCCGAAATAAAATTTATATAGGAAATATATACTTTTACCAGTGTACCCCCCCCCCCCCCCCCCCTTTCGGAGAAATAAGTCTGAAAGAAACACTGAATGGAACAATAATGCGATCTTTGGTTTTTTTTTAAAACTGTTTTTCAACTCCGTTAAAATTTGGATCAATATGTAATTAAAACAGGTACAAATATAATCAGCATTGGACAACATTAAGATATTTCTCAACGCAAATATTTATACATAAGTTGTTCCATTTAATAATTATTTTAATTTTTTTTAAAAGCCCCCCCCCCCCTCATATATATTGGGACAATAACAATTACAGACATTATTGTGTGCTACTTTAAATGTGAAATGAAATGTGTATATTTTAAATTGCTAAGAAGTAAAGAAAAGACATTAAAAGAAACGCAGAACTATTTAGGTAAGCCTATACTAGCCTATAGTGTTTCAAAGGCTTCATAGAAACTTCAGGATCTGAACTTCGGTCTAAGACCACGGTAAAGCTGGTAGGCTATGTAAAGCTAGTATAGTAAACCAATTAGTCAGGTCTTTATGGTAAACAACGTGAACACAAGTTCTACTGTACGCTTGTAGATATATCTATGAATTTATTTAAGAAGATAGAACTTGTACCATATACATGTACAGAACTTGTTTCACGACTACTGACTGACAGTGTTTCTTCCAGACTTTTTTCTCCGGGAGGGGGGGGGGGGGGGGCACTTGAAATTTTCGGGGGGAGGGGCGGTAGACTTTCTTCGGGGGGGGGGGGGGGGGGGAGGGGGGAGGACACTGTTAAAAGCATATATTTTCTATATAAATTTCATTTCGTTGGGGGGGGGCGGTAGAGATGCCTGGAAGATACTTTGCTGACTGAGCCGTATACTAGTACAATATGACAATATGATTTGTATATTGTAACGACATAACTATTTCAATAAATATCTTAAGGATTCAGTTGCGGAGATAACATGTTTACATCAAGCGGCTAGAATGAAAGAAACTTATAAAACTAACGACCTCGTTAAATAGGTAACGAGGCTGATTCATTACTTCCCAGATTAGACGGCAGCTCTTCACTAAGGGTCAATGGGTTGGGTTCATTGATACAGGTTTACCTGACATGCGCAGTGACCGTCATCAATAGCTGCTGGCTACAGGTCTGTCTGGTCTATATCGGTCTCTATAGTGAACACCTTTCCATCTAGTGTCTGTGGTTACTCATTCAATTTCCGGGGAGGTTTACCTTTTGAATGTGAATATTCTGGTTGGTTCCACTGTAAACAGTTCAAACAGCTACTGGGGTATTTCTGTCTTCTCAGGTAAGGTCGCATTCAAGGTGTATTACAGAATGTCTTCTTTTTAGTATAAGACAGTGCAAAGCTTTAATGTTAACAGCAGTATAGGCAGAAAAAAAAAAGTTGCCATACAGCCCAGAAGTATATTTGCTCAGATTTTTTTTCAGGCATCTTTTCGGGTGGTGGGGGCGAGGGGGGCGGAACAAGCCGAAGAACGTCTACCGCCCCCACCCGTGAAAAAAAATAGAAAAAACTATATTTTAAATAGAAAATATGTAATTAATGTCTACCCCCCCCCCCCTTCACTCCAGAGAAAAATATCTGAAAGAAACACAGATTTTGCTTGATATTTTAGGGATACGACAGGAAAGCTAGTTCTATGTTTTTGTAAAGGTGTTTGGAGTAAACGAGCAAGTTAGAAATGTGAGGATCTGTCACTTATAAATAAGTTGGCACAATACCCAGATTCAAAACATCAACCGATAACAAAGATCTATAATTAAAAAATATTTTTCTTAATAAGCATTCCTAATTTAAAAAAAATAAAAAAATAAAATGGACCCCTTGCTGCGACCAGCTAAGCTAATTAGGCTTTGTATTGTAATTAATTTAGTACGGTATTTGCGTCTAAAAATTATTTTAGAAATAAGTGTTTCTATCGATATTCTTTATTAATTGGACAAACCCATGCAACCTACTCATGGCGCAACTCGTATAGCAAATATTATGATAGCTGCTACCTCAGGATAAGCCTTGGTAAACACACATTTTGCCTAACGTTAAAAAGAATGAAGACATACAGTACTAGTTTTGGTTTTTGTTAACGATTAAAACAACCACTGTAACTGCTTGAGAAAAAAAAACATTTTGACGAGGGAACTGAACTGTATATTATCATGTTTACGATACTTGTTAATTAAAGCAGTTGCGTAGCTAAGATTTTTGGGCCCCTATGCAAAAAACTGTTAGTGGGCCCCTCAGAGGCGTAGCGACCCTTCCCGGCCACCGGGGACAAACTTTCGATTTGCACCCCCCCCCCCTCAGAATCGATTTGCACCCCCCTCAAACTTTCGAAAAAGGGCCCCTATTTGCCTTGGGCCCCTATGCCTTGCTTACGCTAGCTTTACGGTAGCTACGCCACTGAATTAAAGACAATCAACCCTGTATACAATCGACCACTTGCGTAGTGCTAGATTTACCTCAACATGCTGTGACCATTTTTAGGGGCCCACAAGACAATATCATTATTGCTGGTATAGGACACACAAAGGCCCCTTAATTTTAACCAACTTGGGCCTCAACAAACTGTGACCATTTTTAGGGGCCCACAAGACAATATCATTATTGCTGGTATAGGACACACAAAGGCCCCTTAATTTTAACCAACTTGGGCCTCAACAAACTGTGACCATTTTTAGGGGCCCACAAGACAATATCATTATTGCTGGTATAGGACACACAAAGTGTCCTTAATTTTAACCAACTTGGGCCTCAACAAACTGTGACCATTTTTAGGGGCCCTCAAGACAATATCATTATTGCTAGTTAAGGACAAACAAAGTGTCCTTAATTTTAACCAACCAGGATCTCAACAAATCTAAAAAAAAAACCAAAGTTATAAAACGGGGATGATTTCAAATTGACCATCAAATCGCCTATGGCTCTGTACATTTCAGCATCAGCAGGTTACAAGTCTGAGGTTCCAGAGTTCTGAAGATGAGGTTTGACCTGGTGCTTCTTGTGTCTCTCGCGCTCGTGCTGCATCTCGCTCTAGGGCAAAACGTCACGGCAGACAAGAAGGTCAAAGGTCGGAAAAAATTACGAGATAATGGTAAGCGGACTTTAAGCAGTATAAAGTCTCCCTTTTTTTATCTATCTTTTCCGACCCCCCCCCCCCCCTCTAGTATACACAAATCTTAGACAAATGTATAAGCATAAAACAGCACTTTGTAACTGTGCTACGAATGGGGCTGACATTATTACGTGCAATAGGCCTACGTGAAGATTTTATAATGGAAAGTACCTCGTCGTAAATTTCAGTCATTAGGAAATATAGTAAAAAATATTTAAATTAATCAATGTTGATTTTGATGCTAAAGCATTAATAGAAATTAACATTTTTTAAAGTATTCAAAAGGTAAGAAGAAGCCTACAATAGTTTTTTTAGCAAATGAAACTCATTAAGGTAATTTGAGGACTTTGGTTTTTTAACTCACCTAAAAAAAATACCGGACGGGATGGTTAGACTAGAATCCAAGAGAGGTAACTGTGTCAAAATAAAAACACTATTTACGCGGCTATAGAGATGGATGAATGAAAGCAAACTTTTTAAAGCTGAGCTACTTCCAAGTTTCTGTGACCAACTAACTTAAGGTTGTTTTTTTTTTCTCGCTGTGTTAATAAGGCTAATTAGTGAAGGAGATTCCTAGTTAAGTCCCGGCATCGATGTCTTGGTATATGGGTCATCTGGGGGTGTAGAGTGTAGGTTACTGATCTCAGAGAACGTGTTTCATGGCTAACAAAGATCACAGCGACTTATCTGCACTTGAACTTTTTTAGGAAAGGGAGCATCGCTATGTGGGTTAATCTTTCACACTGTATGGGTTAATCTTTCACACTATGTGGGTTAATCTTTCACACTGTATGGGTTAATCTTTCACACTGTGTGGGTTAATCTTTCACACTGTATGGGTTAATCTTTAACACTGTATGGGTTAATCTTTCACACTGTATGGGTTAATCTTTCACACTATATGGGTTAATCTTTCACACTGTATGGGTTAATCTTTCACACTATATGGGTTAATCTTTCACACTGTATGGGTTAATCTTTCACACTATATGGGTTAATCTTTCACACTGTATGGGTTAATCTTTCACACTATATGGGTTAATCTTTCACACTGTATGGGTTAATCTTTCACACTATATAGCTTAAGTTTTCTGTCTTATGTGTTAATTTTTCCTATTTTCGACATTTCAAAGTTTGTTTTTTTCAATTAAAAAAAAAAGAAAAAAAAAAAAACAACAACCATAATGAACATATTCAGAGGGCAGACTTTCAGTGTGAAAAAAAGCAAGACACTTTGTTGCCTGGGTTTGAAGTAGGGTGGAGGGGAGAGGGTTGGAGGGGATCAAAGTGGAGTGAAGGGGTGACTGAGGTGAGAGGGTGGGATGAAAGTGAAAGAGTGGGAGGTTGGGGGAGGGGTGGCGGAGAGAGGAGTGGGAGGGTAGGGGTTACAGATAAGGGGGGGGGGGGGGAAGAGAAGGTGGGTTAGAAGAGGTGAGGTGGTCGGACGGTGATAAGTTTTTCTTAAAACAACAAAACTACGCGAATGCTAAATTACATTTTAAACTTCAAAACAACCATAACTGATCTTTAATTCACACATATATTTTAACCAATGCAATAAACGTCCGCGTTACAATTACATGTTTTAAAAGCCTTTCTATAAAAATACATGGAATCTCAGCTTTAGAAAAATAATTACACACACGTTGTTTGTTAGCTTCAGCAGTACGTGTTCCGGGTAAACAAAAGATAGCGCCAGCCGGTAAAAAACCCGGATCAGAAAAGAAAGCAATCAAACCTTTAAAGATGGAGGACACTTCTATGTGTGAGGAGATCTTTCTGCCCATGTGTAAAGGATTGGTACCCTACACCCATACACGACTTCCTAATACATTCAATCATACAACACAGGTGAGTGATGCTAGGGAAACTCATTCAATTATACAACACATGTGAATTATTCTGGGGGACAAAATTCAATCAAATAACATGCTGGTGACGTACATTCAATCATAGAACACAGGTGAGTGATACTGGGGACACAAAATCAATCACATAACTCAGGTGAGTGTGGTGGTTACACAAATTCAATCATACAACAGAGTGATGACAGGGACACACATTCAATCATACAATAGAGTTCAATAATGTTGGGGACACACGTTTACAGCGGTCATCATACACGACAGTGAAGAATTTTGGGACACATACCTTTAGAATACTCGTCATACAATGCAGGTAAGTGAGAATCTGGGGGGGGGCACAATTTTACAACATTACATTCTAATACTTAGGTGAGTGATTATCCGTAGATATTGACTTCGTTAACTTTGGCCTGATGTTAATCCTCCCCTCTCTCTAGTTAATCCTCTTCTACCCTCTCTCTAGTTAATCTTCCCCTCTCTGACGTTAATCCTCCCTTCTCTGATGTTAATCCTCTTCTACCCTCTCTCTAGTTAATCTTCCCCTCCCTTACGTTAATCCTCCTCTATGACGTTAATCCTCCCCTCTCAGACGTTAATCCTCCCCTCTATGACGTTAATCCTCCCCTCTATGACGTTAATCCCCTCTCAGACGTTAATCCCCCTCATGTAGCTGACGTTAATCCTCCCCTCATGTTTTCAGATGGAGGTCTTCAGACACATATCCCACATGTCCGTGTACCTAGACTTCTCCTGCTCCAAAAACCTCAGGCTGATGGTCTGCTCTCTGTATCTACCCAAATGTAAAGGGCGGCAACCCGGCATCGGGCCGTGTAAAAGCACTTGCATGCAGGCCAAGAAAGGCTGCGAGAAGCCACTCAACGAATTCCTAGGTCTCAAATGGGAGGACAAGTTCGACTGTTCGGTGAGGCGTTTTGTCGTGGTTTTTGTCGTAGGTGAGGCGTTTTGTCGTGGTTTTTGTCGTGAGGCGTTTAGTCGTGGTTTTTTTAGCGCAATTTCCATTCTGGAGAATTGCGTTTATTAACCCGTCATAGGCCATAAAAATTCCTGGTTTCTTTCATGGATTTCCCGGAAAAGCCAAAAAACCTCGAAAAAATTCAGTTTTTGGCCCATATCTCGGCAACCAGACCACTTAGCGACTTGAAACATGTACCAATCGATTCCTGCCATAATTTAGAACAATATTGCTGAAGAAAGTTTTCAAAAATATCCTTTCGTTCGGTCAAAAAAAAATTTTTGAATTAATTAAAATTTGGACAGAATTAGTAGGCATTTTTTATCCAACCACACTACACGCGTCATCACGTTCAATAGCTGCGCTATCACGTTCAATGGCTGCGTCATCACGTTCAGTAGCTAGGCGCGCAATGGTTTTTAGTCATGTAACTCTATTGTAAATAAAACATGTATTTTAACCAATGGTTTTACTAACCCTGCTCTTGATATTACGCTACGACAGAGCTATTTTTAGATAACATAAGGAAATTGCGCTTAAATGTCACTAGACTTTTTAATTAACTTGTTTTGTCGTAGGTGAGGCGTTTTGTCGTGGTTTTTGTCGTAGGTGAGGCGTTTTGTCGTGGTTTTTGTCGTAGGTGAGGCATTTTGTCGTGTTTTTTGTCGTGAGGCGTTAAGTCGTGGTTTTTGTCGTAGGTGAGACGTTTTGTCTTGGTTTTTGACGTAGGTGAGGCGTTTTGTCGAGGTTTTTGTCGTGAGGCATTTTGTCGTGGTTTGTTTGTCGTAGGTGAGGCGTTTTGTCGTGTTTTTTGTCGTGAGGCGTTAAGTCGTGGTTTTTGTCGTAGGTGAGGCGTTTTGTCTTGTTTTTTGACGTAGGTGAGGCGTTTTGTCCTGGTTTTTGTCAAGAGGCATTTTGTCTTGGTTTCTGTCATTAGGTGAAGCGATTTGTTTTGGTTTTTGTCGTAGGTGTGAGGTTTAGTCGTGGTTGTTGTTGTAGGTGTGACGTTTAGTCTTGGTTTTTTTCGTAGGTTGGGAGTTTGGGTCTAGGTTTATATCTTAGGTGAGGCACTTTGTCGTGGTTTTTGTCGTAGGTCTGACGTTTTGACTTGATTTATGTTACAGGGGAGACATTTTTGTCCAGTCTTGATTTTGGCCATAGGTCAGCCATAGGTATTGGCTTTTGTCATATTTGAGGCGTTCTGTTGTTGTTTTTTTTCGTGCCATCGGTGAGCTGTTTGACTACTCTTGTTTTTTTTTTTGCGATCATTTAGGCGTTTCATCATGTCTTTGTAAGCCATTGTAACAAATGCAATGTAATATTAGTTGACGGAATCCGTCGTAGTAGTTTGACGCAAAGCCACTCACCAGAATACTGACAGTAGAAGGTTTACGTAAGGGTCAGATTTAGAGTATTACCAGACGGGGTGGAGGTGAAGCTAATTTATTTTATGAGAATACGGTATTCTAGATCCTGCTTATGCTCTAATAACTGCTTGCATTCAGGCTTAACGACATCAACTTTTAGGTAGTAACATTGTAAAGTAATGTAAAGACTTTTGTGAGAAAAATAAGGCCTAATTAACTACTCGATTTAACTAGCTTAATTGTCTAGTTTGTTTTCAACGTAGAGAAAAAGATGCATTATAAATAAAAAGTAAATTAATATAAAATTAGGTTGGGGGTACCGCAAAACAGAGAGAAAAATAACTATAAAGGGAAACAATCCATTTAAAGTTAAACGTGTTTAAGTTTAAGAGGCTTCCGTTTAAAACTTTAAAATTCGACTTAATATTTTTTCCTCTAATTTCAACATTAGAGCTTGTTGAAAATGTCAAAAATACAACATAAAACAAATATAGATAGATACAGTAAGACAGACTAACAACAGACAGACGGAGGACGCGTTTAAAAAAGAAAAGCTAGTAAAAATGTATACTAGAAATGTAAACAATCATTAAATTATACCGGTAGAGAAAAACAGACACACCAGAAGGAACGTGACTCACGCCGATGAAAATAATCTCTTGTATAAGTAAACCATCTTAAATGAATGAAAGTAGGCTACAATTAAGAAAGAAATATTACTATTGTAAATCTGTATCAGTCCTCACAATCCGATGATGAAAACTGTAATACTAAAGCGAACATGCAAGGCAAACTGACACTAAATTACATGTCTGAGGCGAAAAAAAAATATGTGTTAACCATTAGGCTGCTTAATTAGAGCTAAAATAAAAAATAAAGTCCTTCCATGACATCCCCAGGGTTTGAGCAACAAGAAATGTCTGAAGGCCGATGAACGTAATCTCTTGACGTGTAAACCATTAAACTGTTAAACAAGAGTTTATATGTAAAAGTTTACCATGACATCCCCAGGGTTTGAGCAACAAGAAATGTCTGAAGGCCGATGAACGTAATCTCTTGACGTGTAAACCATTAAACTGTTAAACAAGAGTTTATATGTAAAAGTTTACCATGACATCCCCAGGGTTTGAGCAACAAAAAATGTCTGAAGGCCGATGAACGTAATCTCTTGACGTGTTAACCATTAAACTGTTAAACAAGAGTTTATATGTAAAAGTTTACCATGACATCCCCAGGGTTTGAGCAACAAAAAATGTCTGAAGGCCGATGAACGTAATCTCTTGACGTGTTAACCATTAAACTGTTAAACAAGAGTTTATATGTAAAAGTTTACCATGACATCCCCAGGGTTTGAGCAACAAGAAATGTCTGAAGGCCGTGAAGGACGAGAACTGCTCGGACAAGTACCCGACGTGTGTGAAGAACTCGGTCATCAAAACATGCGCCAACCTGACATTCACCATGGGGACACTTCCAAACATGTTCGGTCAATGTTTGGTCAATGTGAGTCAATGTTTGGTCGATGTGAGTCAATGTTTGGTCGACGTTTGGTAAATGTTTGGTTAATGTTAGGTCAATGTGAGTCAATGTTTGGTCAATGTGAGTAGATGGGTCGTCAATGTTAGGTCAATGTGTGTCAATATGCAATGTTTGTTCAATGTGAGTCAATGTTTGGTCAATGTTAGCCAATGTTAGGTTAATGTGAGTCAATGTTTGGTAAATGTGAGTCAATGTTTCGTCAATGTTTCGTCAATGTTTGGTCAATATGACTGAATATCTGGTCAATGTAGGTCAATGTGAGTCAATGTTTGGTTAATGTGAGTGAATATCTGGTAATGTAGGTCAATGTGAGTCAATGTATGGTCAATATTTGGTCAATGTGAGTCAATGTCTGGTCAATGTTAGGCAGATTTGAGTCAATGTTAGGTCAATGTCTAGTCAAAGTTAGTCAATGTGAGTAGCTGGTTGGTATATGTTTGGTAAGCATATAGATCCACACAAAAAATAAAGTGTTGAATCGTGGCTAGATGCAAACACAATACAACCCAATATGCAAACAAACTCCGTGAATAATCCAGTTAAAAAAACTCTAACAGGAAATCAACGCGGAGATTGACCAGTACGACAAGCTAGTGGCCAGCAACTGCCACCCGTCTCTGCGGTTCTTCTTGTGTGGGGTCTACGCCCCTTTCTGCGGCAGAACGGATGTACCGCCCACCTTTCCGTGTAGGGAGCTTTGCCACGAGGTAGTGTAGCGGACATTTAAGTATTTACTTCATTCATTATGAGCAGGGGTCTGCAAACTACGGCCCGCGGGCCGGATGCGGCCCGCAAGGTCCTCTCATCCGGCCCGCGGAGATCTTTTTGTCCACGGAAAAAATGTCTGTTAGAGGTGGCTGAGGAACTTTGCCCATAAAATTCAAAACAATGTGAAAATGCAGCTTTAGGTGCAAATACCCTTGCATACCTTGTTGCAGACATGGGTGAAAACATCGTGACTCAAATAGCGAAAAATGCAAGCACGTTTCACTATTTTTTAATTGCAATGGATAAGTCGATGGACAGCTCAACTGCTTGTGTTCATTAGGGGTGTGGATGAAGATATGAACATAACACAAGAGCTGGCTTCCCTACATAATATGTATGGCACTGTTACCGGAGAGGATATATTTAATGAGTTTAAGAAAACATTTGCTGATTATAACTTGGACTGGACTAACCTCAGTTGACTGATGATGAGGAAAAGTACATAAGTAGCATAAAGAAATGCTTAGTTGGACAAGTGAATGAGAAAAATATAGATATATATGGACATTAGCAATGTACTGAATCCTGTGGTGAAGATGGCGAATTTAATAAGGTCACATGGGCTCAACCATAGATATAGAATACGTGAAGAATAATTTGAGAGCAAACTTTGACCTCGAGTGTGTTGCCGGCCCTCGACAGTGTTTTTTTCAGATTTGGGGGGGGGGGGGGGCGGCACTTGAAATTTGTATATATTTCTATATAGACTATATATTTTAGTGGGGGGGGGGGCGGGGCGGTGGACTTTTTTGTGGGGGGGGGGGGGCTCCATAAAACCGAAGATATGCCTTGAAGAAACTCTGGCCCCCGAACTGATATTTGATAGTCAATGCGGCCCCCGGTCTGAAAAGTTTGGAGACCCCTGATTATGAGATATCAAACGACGGGTTCATTTACACTAGCGCATGAAGGGAGGACCATTGCAGGATATATATATATATATATATATATATATATATATATATATATATATATATATATATATATATATATATATATATATATATATATATATATATATATATATATATATGTGTGTGTGTGTGTGGGGGGGGGGGGTCTCTATGATGGGATATTGGGCTGCCATTTCATCAATCATCTAGGACTGCTGGGAATAATGCTAATTAATAGATGAAGCTACTCATTGAAATTTAAAATAAAACTTGTCTTTACTTGCGATAAGGGTAGTGTGACAGCTATCCAAAGTCATTGGATAAAATTTAAATAACAAGTTTAAAATATCAACATAAAAAAAAATGTTCGTAAAAAAAACCTAGAACTGATTTTTGTATATCTATATGTCAATTCATATGCTTATATTTATACGTATCTATATATGTGAATTCTATACGCATACATATCTATATATGTGAATTCTATATGTACACATCCCATAATGTAACTCAGTGATTACGAAAGATGTCTGTAAAATCTCCCTAGGTCCGAACAGCCTGTGAGAAGACCTATCGCCAACTGTACCACGGTCTCCCCTGGCCCAGTAAGTTCCAGTGCCACAGGTACACGGCAAGTGACTCGACCTCCAACAGGTGCGCCATGCCCAACGAGGGGGAAAACTTCCTGGCATGATGGAAGCTGCTGTAGTCATACGTGGTCATACATCTGTCTAGTTTTTTAATCATGTTAACACAATCCTATGTTACTACATCTGTCTAGTTTTTTAATCACGTCAACACAATCCTATGTCATCGGTATGGTCCATTACTACATCTGTCTAGTTTTCTAATCATGTTAACACAAGCCTATGTCATCGGTATGGTCTATTACTACGTCTGCCTAGTTTTCTAATCATGTTAACACAAGTTCTGTTACTACATCTGTCTAGTTTTCTAATCATGTTAACACAAGCCTATGTCATCGGTATGGTCTATTACTACATCTGTCTAGTTTTCTAATCATGTTAACACAAGCCTATGTCATCGGTATGGTCTATTACTACATCTGTCTAGTTTTCTAATCATGTTAACACAAGCCTATGTTACTACATCTGTCTAGCTTTCTAATAATGTTAACACAATCCTATGTCATCTATGTGGTCTGTTACTACATCTGTCTAGTTTTCTTATCATGTTAACACAAGCCTATGTTACTACATCTGTCTAGTTTTATAATCATGTTAACACAAGTCTATTTCATCTGTATGGTTTGTTACTACATCTGTATAGTTTTCTAATCACGTTAACACAATCCTCTGTCATCTATTGGTCTGTTACTTCATCTGTCTAGTTTTCTAGTCACATTAACACTAGCATTTGTCATCTATATGGTCTGTTACTACATCTGTCTAATTTTCTTATCACGTTAACACAATCCTCTGCCATTTTTATGGTCTTTGTTACTACATCTGTCTAGTTTTCTAATAATGTTAACACTAGCCTATGTCATCTATTAGTCTGTTACTTCATCTGTCTAGTTTTGTAATTATGTTAACATAATCCTCTACCATTTTTATGGTCTTTGTTACTTCATCTGTCTAGTTTTCTAATCACGTTAACACAATCCTCTGCCATTTTTATGGTCTTTGTTACTACGTCTGTCTAATTTTCTAATCACGTTAACACAATCCTCTGTCATATGTATGGTCTGTTACTACATCTGTCTAGTTTTCTAATCACCTAAACACACGCATCTGTTAGTACGTCTATCTAGTTTTCTAATCACGTTCATACAAGCCTCTGTCATCTATACGGTCTGTTACGAGTCATGGAATGTATTCAGTAAGAGAGAGCTTCTCTAACATTCATCTTTTCCCTTCAGTGCTCAAGACACACGGAGCAGCTAACTAACCATAGAGTTACTTATTCTCAAGTACCACTTAAATAGATCTAACACTGAAAAACAGGGCTCATAAGTACTCACTCTTATACTCACATCTCCTGTTAATTATCATGACTAACAATAAACAACTAAAATCTACTGTCAAAAACTGAATAAAGTTGTCTAAGTATAACGTTATATTGGTAATCATTTTACCCTGGGGACAGGGAATAAGAATATATGAGGTGTGGGCGTGGTTAAGGTCTAAAGAAGGGGACGGAGAGAGGCATTTGTCCTGTCAAAAATATTTTTGTAAGGAGTGAGATAACGACTTGGTCCTGTAAAAATTTATGTATAAAGAGATAAGGTAAACAAGGACTGTTATTGCCTGTAGCATCAGAATAGTCTACGTTTCCGTTTACAATTGCACACAAGTTATTTTTGGTCAACTAATTGACTGTCTAGTCAGAGAAAAAAAAAATACAATCATTCTTAAGTTTCAAACAGATGATAGTTTGAAAGACAATAACCCTTACTAGAAAGAAAAGAATGCTCGCAACATGCAAATAGGACCATTAAATAATATCTGATTCATGCGGAATGCAGAACAATACACCGGGAGAATCCTTTTTAATTATTGTAGACTATTCGTACTGCTATATTGCATGCATGACAAAAGCGGTATCAGAATATATATATATATATATATATATATATATATATATATATATATATATATATATATATATATATATATATATATATATATATATATATCAGTTTTTAATAAAGCCACTGTATTAAAAAAGGGAGTTATATATATATAAAATCGAATAGCGTCCTAGTAATACCTACACTGACTCATGAGAATAATTGTTAACAAACTGTGTTGATTCAACGATAGCTATTTAACAGTAAACAACGATCCATCAACGTACAGTTAACTCATGCAAAGTAGAAAATATATATATTGAGAAACCAGAAAAAAATGCAGAACAACTACACAAAGAGAACAAATTACGTTCAAAATGCCAATAGATGAGATCCCTCTCAAAAAATGAAGTTGAAACATTTTTTTTAGGAGAATAATGCAGAAATTTTCAACCATTCTCTACGGAGAAAAAAATACAAAAGTCACAAAAAATACGATAGAGAGGTTGTCAGGCGTATAGATACCTATAATGCAGGTCTTGTAAAACGAATCCCAATGCGACAGCACCAAAGATATTCTGTTGGGCCTGACCCGTCCGGTCCCTTTCTGACCAGTCGCCCTGGCGACAGCCGCCATGGTCAGCACACAGCAAGCCTGACCCAGCTTGTGGGGGTTTGATTTTTTTACATCTCCGGCGTGGGGGAAAACTTTGCTCTAGTAACCTAGACAACGAAATCAGGTCTCTGGGAAATGCCACCTCCACTGGAGGCCTACTCGAATGTAGATGTTAGTGTCAGACTTTACAAACAACACGACGATTTTGTGATTTAGTGTTGAAGCGACATCCTTGATTTGTTTAAATGTTTTATTTTCTTCTAGTAACCAATGCAACGAAATCACGTTTTGGACAAATGTCACGTCTAATGGTTGATAATTTCCTATATGGCAGCTGTCACTACAAGCGTTGACCTACTCTACGGTAGAGTTTAGTTTATACCAGGCGTAAACTGCTGCTATTCACATTGCTACAGTTAAAAGCTATTAATTTGATATTCTTAAGCTTAAGTGTTGTTTTTACAACAATAAGGCAATAAAGCAATACAAAATTAAAAGTCCAAACAAAAAGACATGAGTTTGACTCAAGCTCAATCCATAGAAAATGAGGCTCAGACTGGCTCAACAGCTGGACAACCTAGCTCAGCAGAGATTATATTTATAAACTGTGCTACTGGGCAACAATAGGACAAGTGTTGTAACAGAAATTAGTTTCTTTTTCTTATCCACAGTATAACGCTGTAATAGCTAATCCAGACCGAAAAAAAACTGCTTAATTCAAAGCCAACCAACTCGACTTAAAAAATACCCGTGAAGTGGGAGATTATAATGGTCGAACGGTGTTTTAAAATAAAAAAAAAATACAACCGATGTTAATCACCCGTAAAAACAAAGTTGATGGATCAATAATAATTTATTTTAGTGCAGGAAAAACTGAGCACAGCTTATCATACACTTGAGATGATTGATAGTTAACAGGTGTCAAATGTCACGGGATTTACAATTAACCGGTGTCATTTTATAGATGACATAGCCTAACCGGTGTCATTTTATAGATGATTCACACATAGCCTAACCGGTGTCATTTTATAGATGACATAGCCTAACCGGTGTCATTTTATAGATGATTCACACATAGCCTAACCGGTGTCATTTTATAGATGACATAGCCTAACCGGTGTCATTTTATAGATGATTCACACATAGCATAACCGGTGTCATTTTATAGATGACATAGCCTAACCGGTGTCATTTTATAGAAGATTCGCAAATAGCCTAACCGGTGTCTTTTTAAACATAATTGAAAGCTAATCGGAGTGGGTTTTTTTAAAATTATTATTCACAGCCAACGAATGTAATTGTAACGATTAATCCTACACACCAGGTGCATTGGAACTTGAGAAGAAAAAAAACTATCACAAACACTTCACAAAAACACAGGCATTCACTAAACGGTGCTGTCACATTCCAGTCGCTACACATCGTTCTGACCTATTACACCCAGCACCCCCCAAACCCCCACACACACTAATATATTCGACTTTTATCAACTGCTGTATATGAGTAACACAATAATCGATGCTGGTGGAACAACTAAAGCCACGAAAACAACGTGACGGATGTAGCATTTGATGTAGCATGTAGCATTCGGTCGTTGATGGTAATCCGCTGTTTGTTATACGGCGTCATATTTCTAAAACGTCGTCATGTTTCTAAAACGTCGGACGCAGAGGTGGCGGCGTGGTCGGGTAGGTAAAGCTCAGGGTTGCTAAACCGAAAGTACCAGATGAATGGAACCCATCTAGGAGAGACAACTCCAAAATCAAATACTCCTGCCTTGTAATTTGTTCAACGGTCTATATTGCGCATGACATGTGGTACTTAATTGTGTTGATAAACTCCAAACAGTACAATTAAGAACAAAGAAGAAGAAGGATACTTAATTGTGTTGGTAAAATTCCATACAATACATTTAGGAATAAAGAAGAAGAAGGATGCAAAGCGTAATGAAAAACGCTTTTAATTTGGTTTAAATTAACAATGTCTGGCTTTGTATTGATCTTTTTAATTTAGAAACAATTAATAGCCGACACTAATTCAATCAAAATAACACCCTGTACGAAATCATATCTAAAATTGAAAAATAACTATTTTCTTTCAACTTTGAGTCCTAGATACAATTGGAAACTGATAGCTGCGTTTTTTTCTTTAGGATATATGCCAACGCCTCCAACATGATAAAGTCGTGTGTTCGGTGCTATAGGAACATTGTTACTGGTTGAAGCCACAAATTGGCACGTGTTGTTTCTAATTAAAAACAGCTTGCTTCTGATTGCACTAGTTAATTGAAACACCGCCTCTATCTACACACGGTTCACTGGCGAAATGTAAAATATGTTAAATACATTCGAGAAAGAGACTATACGCTATATTATAAAAATGTGGGTTGTAAAATTAAAATTCTTCTTCCACACCTGTAATTTCAGACAGGTGTGGGCCTCCTGCGCGTGTATGTTAATTATTTCATAGAGCGCTTGAGTGGCGCTGGACAAAAGAGGTCACGCTTGATTCAACAAACGATGTGGATTGGCTGCAGCGTACGCTGGTTCTTGTACAACTTGCACGTAGTTTTGTGGATTAGGTAGAAAATGGCGGAGGTAGAGGGGGTGTCGAAGGTAGAGGGGGTGGCAGGGCTAAATGCTTTGCGGAATTAAAAGGAGGTGGCGCCCAACCGCCAATTAACCAAGAATTAAATAAATAAGAGTGTTATAAGAGTTATTTAGTACAAATAAAAAGTTTGCCGTTGTCAGACTAATCATGCTTGAAAGTAAATATATTTTGAAATAGTTTCAATTTATATCCCAACAATATCCTTGCTATTACTTAAGTATATTTAACTTTTGTTTATATATTTTTTTTAAATTATATAACGGTCGGTCGTGTGTGGTGAAACTTGGGATCTAGAAACAGTTTCGGCTCAATATAAACCCGTTACAAGAAAAAAGTTGTTTCAAATTTTTACAGAGCAGCCAAAGATAGACGAGTTTCAGCTAATTAAAGATCAGCCACAGTTAGATGAGCTTTAGCTCTTTGAAGGTCAGCCACAAATAAATGAGTTTCAGCTCAAAGATATAAATGAATTTTAGCTCATAAAAGATCAGCCACACTAACAGCTGATTTCCCCCATTTTTAGCCGATTAAAGATCAGCTACCACCAAATGATAACTTTCAGCTGAATTAATATCAGCAGCGAACATCTGAGTTTGAGCTTGATTATAAATCCATTCAAAAAGGAATAAAAGCCATTAAAATTTCATAATGATTTTAGAATTGTATCCAACAATCTTCTTTTCAACTTGGCTTCAACAAGCCGAGTGTAAACATGAAATATTAAGGCGCCGACAACACGGAAGTTCTAGAGGGCTCAAAATGAAAGCATTGATTTAATTTTTTTCTCCTTCTAGACGTGGGGAGCAACGACGTTTTCATTTCAGTACTTTCTGTGCTTGCATACAGTACAGCAATAGACACAGTCAAACGTTGTGGTGTGTGGTCAACAGTCCACTACCAGCCTTATGAATGCGGGAACTCACGGCCGTATACAGTTGTCGTTGGTATAAACTGTATCGCCGGCTTTACCATTCCATTTTATAGGGTTAGGGTCAGTAGTGAAACAACTGAAATTTTCACATTTTTGTCAGTAATTTCGCATTAAAAAAATAATGTTTTAAGTTATGGTAAAACTTTATTAATGTACATCATCTTCAGCCTTTAGGATAATTATTTTAAACCGAAATTGTTACAGAATAGTAAACTTTTAACTGTGGCAAGTGGTAAAAGCTGAAATTTATGGGAGTTTTGACTATTTGTGTTTCATTATTTTAAAGTATTTATCGACGACGCCTTAGAAAAAAAATATAGGGAAAAATATACTTTTTTTTGGCTAAGGTTCGTTTCTATTTAGAAACGCGTGTATAATTAATATA